TTTGGTCCCTAATTTTTTTGTTTTGGACCAAGTTTGTCCTCAAACTTTGAAAAATACTAACTGGTCCTCAAACTTCAATTTTTGGTACTAATTTCGTCATTATGTGAGTTAAATGTTGACATGAATCATTTTTTCCATATACAAATTCATTTTCTTGCTAATGATTTAAATAATTCAATGGTAAAATCTCCTTTCATTAAAAATAAGAGATTTTAAGTTTGAATCGCATGAAATGTAAGTAAAATGTAAGTGAAATGAGTATGGAATGTGAGAGAGTTATCTCTTATTTTGCAATCGAAAATCAAACAATAAACAAGCAATGGCTCCCTAATATTTTCCCATAAACAGGATTTATGTGGCTTTTTTGGCTTATGTGGCGTCCATTTAGGCATTTTCATACTCAAAAATAATAAACAAGTAGTGAGTCCCTAATATTTCCCTTATATAAAGTTAATAAATTGAAAATTATGAAAGTAACCACTCCTTATCTTCTTCTCCAATCCCTCTTCTCTCTTTCTCTCTCTATATCCGTTTTCTTTCTTCCTCTTCTTCTTTGGCATTGATGTTCTTTTCTTCTTCTCTAGCACCAACATTCTTTTCTTCTTCTCCACAACTAGCATTGGCTTTCTCTGCCTTTGTTCTCTCTCCTCCCTCATTTCTCTCTTCATTCTCCTCCTTCCTTCTCCTTGTTAGGGTCTAAGTTCAATTTTATAACTCAGCTAGATTTGGGTTGCAAAACCTAGATCAAGTTCTAACCCAAATCTAGATTTTAGAACCCAAATTAGCTTCTAAACCAAAATAAAAACCAGATGTTGGCATTGAGATTTGAAGGAAAATCAAACAATGGTGGAACCAAGATTTAGAGGAAAATTGAACATGAATTGTTCAAGGTGTCAATTGTGCTTTGAATTTGGAGGAAATAATGGTGGAACTATTATTCTCCAATGAGTTTCACTCCAATTTATATTGATTTTATTTTTAACTCAATTGGTTTATGTTGCATCGATGTATATTTGCAATCTTTATCATTTGTGATACAAAATCAAATAGAGTTAAGTGTTTTCGCTAAATATTTCTTTCATTCCTTTGTGCTACAAATTGGGCATGGATTACTTGGAGTATTAGGTCACCAATGTTGGAGAAGAATAGTTGGCTGGTGAAAAAAGGAAATGATGTTCTCATTTTCTTCATTAAGGCCTTAATTGAAATAATTTTAATAGCTACATAACAAGGATTAAACTCAACTTCTAATTAATATTTTCAAAAACCAACCATGAGAATGAAAATTCTATTGATGTAGATCATGCACATTAATTTTTATATTGATATAACATTTATAACTTTTTAATGAAAAAAACTTTATTTATTGATATGTATTTAACTGTGTTAATAGAAGGACCAAGATATTTACTAGAAAAAAAAAAAAAAAGAAAAGAAGGACGAAGATGGTTATGGAAAAATAAAATTTTAAGATAAATTTGGCAATTATTAAAGTTTAAGGACATACTTGGTCTAAATTTAAAAGTTGAGGGACTAAATTTAATGATTAACCAATTATAAATGACCTCGTGAGTTGTTCTGAATTAAAAAATAAGTTATTGTAGAAAATTGCGAATGCCTATTAGTTATGGTCAGGCAGCTAATTCTCAATATACAATTAAAATAAAAAATTAACTTGAAAAATTGTTGAAAGAAAAAGAGAAACACACAAGATATATCAATACAAACAGCTAAAGATTCACGGGATCTAGCAAGTGTGAATCATGGGAAATTTTTTCATGGGGTTTAACTTTGACCAAATTAATGGACCCCCACCTCTGCATGTATATCTGAAGTCACTGCACAAGAAGTTGATTTCAAATTGTGTGCCCATGTCCCGTCTCTCTGTGTGCGATATTAATTACACATGTAGAAGGAATAACTTCTCAACAGGTCTCTCAACTATGTCATTTTGGGTGTAGCTATCAGTGAAAATGTTTAGTTTATTAAAATTGTGTTAAAAAAATTTTAATTTAATTTAATTTGATTGTTCATAATAATTAATAATTTATAAGATAATTAATATTTATTATTTAATAAATTAAAATTAGTTTATAAATTAATATTTTCTAACATTTTAATCATTCATTTAAAAACATTATAAATATTAATTAAAAGATTTATCTAAAGGAATAAGATAAAAAATAATTATTAACTAATAATTATTATTTTTTACCTTAAAAGTGATGAGGTTGACTTTTGTTTTAATTATGGATGTCATGTGTTTAATTTTTTATTAATTTATTTTAAATTATGAAACAAAAATTAATTTTTTTAATTTAATTTTTCACATTAAAAAAATCATAATTATTATTCAATCATTACTTTTTATCATATACCCTTGCTAAGAGCCCATGATAAATAAATTCTTAATTAAATTAGATACAAATTTGGTGACTTTGATAATTTTATCAGAGGACAAAACCACACTATGTTATTTTGTGCAATCATGACATCCAACTGACGTTAATGAGAAATAAATCCCTCAAAACAACTTTTATCATTTAAGTGAAGTCAACTTCACTTGAACTGTTCGATTGTGATGAGGTGAGCTGCAGAGAAAAAAATTCGGTTTTGGTTGAAAATCGGCTCCACCTGCAAGATCAAGCATTATTTTATGGGAAAAGCATTTTTCATGTCGGTTTCACAAAATTTTAAAATTTATCTTTTAATTAATATTTAAATTTGGTTAAACTTTAGACTTTTATAAAATTTAGGTAAAAAATGTATTTATTATATTTATAATTAATTTATATAAAAAATAAAAATTAATTTTAATTTTATTAACCATTACATTTAATAAAATTTAATTTGTGTTTTTAAAATATAAGTTAGAAAATTTTATATAAAAAAATGTAATAATTGCACCTCTAAGATATAAGTGAAAAAAACTTTTTAAATAAATCATGCATATCAATTTTAAAATTATTTTAGAAAGCTTGATTACTTTATTAATTATACATAATTTAATAATATTAAATAAATGTGAATACATAAAAAAATTTTAATTAAAAAGTTGTAAACATTATATTAATATAAAAATTAATATGTATACCCATAAAAAAATTAATAA